TATTTGGCTTTTTCCGATAGTTTTAATTGTTGCCCGTTTAGTGAAGGCAACCTGAAAGTTGGTATTTTGGTTTTAATAGTAAACAGCATCATTTCAGTTTTTCCTGGGTTAATACCTAGTCCACAACCTGTGGCCCAGGTATTTAGTTTAGCCAAGACCCTTTCCATAATGTCGCTAATTATGTTAGGGAACATACCTGACACTAGAATAACCACATCATCGGCGTACGCTACTGCTATCACACCTGTCTTATCTAGAATATTAAGAATATTATCCACGACCAGCAGCCACAGTAATGGTGAAATAACCCCTCCTTGTGGCGTCCCCCTACTGACGTGCTTCGTTTGGGTTATGCTACCTAACTTTGATTGAATAATCCTTGTTTTAAGCATAGTAACTATCCAATTTTTAAACTCTTCCTCTAAACCTATTCGGGAAAGAGAGTTATGAATAGCTTTATTGCTTACATTGTTAAAAGCCCCTTCAATATCTAAAAAGGTTGCCAACGAGTATTGCTTAAAATGAATCGATTTTTCCACAGTACGAATGACCTCATGCAGAGCTGTTTCCGTAGATCTACCCTTGAGGTAAGCGTGCTGGGATTTGGAGATTGGAAAACGTTCTACCTTTTGTCTTAGGTGGAGCTCTATAACCCTCTCCATTGTTTTTAGTAAGAATGAAGTTAAGCTAATCGGCCTGTAATCTTTGGCGGACTCATGTCCGATTTTGCCTGCCTTGGGTATAAAGACTACTTTAACCTGTCTCCAACTAAGTGGTACATAACTGTATTTAAGACATGCTTTGTAAATTTCCCCTAACCATGGAACCACTAAGTCTTGCAGTTTTTGTAACATAATAGGGAAAATACCGTCCAAACCTGGCGATTTATAGGGACAGAAACTGTTAATTGAATACCTAATTTTTTTTTTTTTGAATGTTGTAAACCGCGTGAATGTTGTAAGACTTATTGCAGTTCTCTTTGGTCAATGGTGCATAGGAATAATCGCAGAGAAACTGAACATTCCTTTTCATACTCACTGTGTAAATTGTGGAAACCTAGAGAAAAAGAAATTCTTTCTCTTAGAATGGCATGCTCTTATCTCCAGAAGAATCTGGTTTTTAGAGAAGCATAAAAACAACAGATCACAGTGATTTTGTAAATACATAAACAAAACCAAAAAGTGCTGACAGAGACAGCTGTTATTCTGCAATAAAACGTTATCCACAAAGGGTGTGTCTTTCTATTTGAAAAAGTAAATCGTATTTCTCATAGATAGATGACATACATATAAACTTTAACTCCATAATTTTTTTGATATATAGTTGTGTGCTTAAACCAAGTTAACCTGTCCTAATATCAAATGATATATAACAAAATATTATTGTATGGGTTTTACCGTCTGTCCTTCCACTAGGTCGGTAAATTTTTCATGTCCTTCATACTTCCACCTACTCTCAATCATCCCCGAAATATCTTAAATTATACCTGACCTCAGTATATCACATTTTAATATAATATTTGAAGACATTAAACTTCAGTTCGAAACTTTTCTTCATAGAAAACCTATTAAACTATAACTTTGTTTTTTCCGATGACATGAACGGCGTGAACACCTATTGTCATACTGCTGCATTGCTGCTCCAAAGTCTAATTTACAGTAAATTGTCTTGAAAAAGTTTATCAAATTACAGAGAAAATTGCTCAATTTGAAGCATTTGTTAATTTTGACCAAAAGCACAATTCGACATTAAAATGCAGATATGCAATTTAAAATTGTCGGTCACATTATTATTGTTAATGTTGCAGTCGTTGTTGTTGTTAGTGATTATAATGGTGCTGTTGGTCATGTACGTTAAGTGTCGGTATTTGTTTGTAATGTTGCAAGTGTTTTGAAATGTTGTTGACAGTATTTTTCTTTTGTTCGGATTCAACCCAAAGCAATTGCAATAAATTGACAAGCAAACACACGGACATACCCCTGCATAAATTGAACAATGTCAGCAACCTCACAACCATAAGTAATGCCTATTTTACTAAATGCAAATTAAATATAAGAGAGTCAGGTCAATAAATATTACTCCTTGCAATCAAACATCTTTGTTGTCAATGCATTTGTGGTGGAGTTGACGTGAACTGAACGTAAACTATTCAGATGTGATTTGTCTTCACATCACTATATTGTCGAATTGGCTAAATCGGTTATGTGTGGAAAATGCTTATATATTTAAGGAAACTCAGAATCGAGATTGTTCACATATAAACATATCGAAGCATATATATAAGTATATAATATTTTTCAATATAATATTTTTCAATTTTCATATATTTTCAGTTATTTTTTAGTTAGTAACGTCTTCTGTTATACTCGTACTTTTGATCGAAATATGTTAGGCATTGCTCTATTCCAATGGCACATGTCTTACATACTAACGATAAGAGCGGAAAATAAGTCAAAAGATTGTCGCATGCACTCCCACTATTAATTATTCTTGATTGTTTCAGTTTCTCCTTATCAAAAGGAGAAATCTGAATAGATTATTATTATTTTACCATGCGTTGAGAAGAACAATATCTCACACTTTATACTTGTTTACTATATATATGATGTTCACTGAAATGAACATCCATCATTCCACAATTTTTTTTTTGTCACTACTTTTTCTATATTCTATAATTTTTGACTTTATTTTCTTTTCTATATTGTTCAGTTACTCTTTTCATTTATACTTTTCTGCGTTCAATAGAAATATTAGAATCTTTTAATGTAATCCCACTGCAATCTCAATATTAAGTTACACTCATCTAGGAATATTTAAACATTATTAGGGTATAGTAGATGGGAAGTTACTTGACTTCCGCTGGATAATGAACTAATAGTGCGTATAGCAAGTCCTATTCCCTGGACTTAAAATCTGGCACCCGTCACGTAAAATCAGCCGCCAATGAAAAACATTAGGATGCCTCGGAATGGAAAACCGCTTAATCTTGACCACCCTTGCAAACTAACAAAGGACTATGATTTATGGATATACACCTGAAATGTCCAAACCACCTGTAGGGAAGGTGCCTCTATCAAACTGGTGGAAGTCTCAATAAGTATAACATTGACGTCGCCGCCATCTAGGAAATGCGATGGACAGGACAAAGCTGCTCTAAAAGAGCATAATATGATATCTACTACAGCTGCAATGCAAATAGGCATGGATTTTGATGCGGTTTTGTGGTTAGCAAAAGATTGTCAAAATCAGTCAAACGATTCAAGAAATTTTTTTTAATCACCCTAATTTGCGCTCACGTGCCGATAGAATAAAATAAACGACTTAACCAAAGATACCTTCTATGTGAGACTCGAGGAACAACGTTAAAATTGTTCTTGGGTGTTTTTAGGCAAAGGTCGGAAAACAAGAAATTTTTGGTCCAAGCGTGGTTCAACGGTCTGAGGCCAATTGATTTCGTTGCAACTAGAAGTATGGTAGTATGTAACACCACTTTCCCCAACCGCTATGTTCTTAAATCTACGTAAATATCGCCCAATTAATTAACACGAAACCAGATTGATCACTTCGTGATTGACGAAATTGAGGTGTGTAAAGTCATGTAAAGTGTGTAAAGTGATGCCTGAAACCCGGTAACGAGTTATGGCCAAATAGATAAGCGAGTTTGTAAGACGTTTAGTATTACTTGGACTATTACTCCATAAAAGTACGAAATCGGCAATGCTGATGTGACACTCTACATAGCATGGATTTTCGTCATAGCCTGAAAGAGCCAATTTTTCCATACCCGTGACACTCTACATAACATGGCCCTTAAGTGGGTATTATACATGGTTTTTAAATGTTGACTTGGTGCGTTAAGATCTGAAATTTTTGCCGAAATTCATGTGTAATAGCAACATTTGCTGGACTGAAAAACAGAGCGTTCGAAATCGAAATATTTTGATTTTTCGTCGGTCTTACTCGTTATGTTATATTCCTATGCAATTAAACGGGTTTTTGTGGGCTTCCACAAAAAGCTTGCTTCTAATTTTGAGCAAGCTACATCGTTCAGTTTGTCTTTGATAGCCGTTCAAAGCAGACAACCTCGTGAATATTTACAAAAATTTTTTTACGTGATTTTTTACTTGTCTAGTCACGATGGCTAAAATCCACGAATTGGGATACGAACTGCTCCCCATCCAGCGTATTCTCCAGATTTAGCTCCCTGTGACTATTTCTATTTCCAAACCTAAAGAAATGGGTGAGCGGTAAGAGATTTGAGTCGAATGAAGAAATCATTACCGAAACAAACGCGTATTTTGAGAGCTTTGAGAAAACCTATTATTTGGAGGGAATAAGAAAATTAGAAAAACGCTGGACTAAATATATCGAGCTAAAAGGTGATTATGTAGAAAAATAAAATGTTTATTTGCCGAAAAAAATATGTTTTATTCAAAAAGTCGCTGACTTATCAAACCGCCGTCGTTACTTTTAAAATAACATAAAGATTGTTGTAATTATCTTTTTTGATTTCTTGTCCTGATGATGACTCTCAAGGATAGTCGAAATATAGAATTTTAAAAAATACCTTTAGTTAGAATCAATTTTTTCAGTTCACATCCTTTTCTTTATTCATTACGAATAAAAGCAGTTCTTCTGATCATCAAGTCATTCATATTAATTGATCTACTCATTATGGACATATCATATATTAATTAGAGTGAACTATTAGATTTAGCATTATAGAAAATGTTAAGTGGATACACATTTGATAAAATCAGTGCCTAGTTCTGTGAATATGACGCAGAAAGAGATGGGTCTTTCTGCAAGAGTTGCATACCACTTTATTTTCATATTTTTCATAAGATTTTAATATGAATCTCTACATTTCTACTGAAGATTTTGGATTATAGACACAAATCAATTTATTTCTAATAAATCAATCAAATCTTTCGGTTGAAGAATACAACTATTCAAACGAAATTTTGATTTTTAAATAAAAACACCAAAAACTTTTTTTTTTGATTTTTAAATTTTCTATAACCACGGATATTTGATTCTCTATTTTTAGTAAGAATCGTAAAACTTATTTCTGTATAAACCAGGCATGACTTATTATCTCTGCTAAGGTAGCGCGAGTATCTAATGGAGACAATAGCATTTTCGTGTGTTGCTTACATTCCTCGGTTAACTCTGAATTCCTTGCATATATCAGTGGTTGAGCAGCTTTATTCAGTATAACACGAACATTGGAACCATCATAAGGTAAACGGCCGCATGTCATGGCATAAAGTACAATCCCACATGCCCAAATATCTGATTGAAATGGATTGTACGGCACACCTAAATATGAGAAACGTTGTAATTTAGTTAAAATATTTCTAAGATATTACTCAATATAGCAATCAATAACGATGTAAGTTGTTAACCTTTTAAAATTTCGGGACTAGCATAAGCATAACTACCACAAAAAGTCTTCGACAAATTATCTTTTGGATTCTCGTTTTTTTCATATTTACGTGCAAACCCAAAATCTATTAATTTGAGATTAGATTTGGCATCGAGTAGCAGGTTTTCGCATTTGATATCACTAAATACTAAATTAAATCCAAATACTCTTAAAAATAATATTGATATATCATACCGATGCACCACGCCTTTACTATGTATATATACTAGTGCGTCAATTAGTTGAACGTAGTACTTGTGGGATTCCAGTTCAGTCAGCTTGCGCTTTTCCCGTACATAATCAAGTAAAGTACCTTTTTCAGCATATTGCATGACAATGTACACCCTGGAAGCATACAATTTTATTTATTTAGAATGATGTGGAAAGATTTATATAGGTATATCTCAATACGAATAAAAACATTGATATGTTATATATATATATATCTCAAAGTTACCGTCTAGTTGTTTCAACACTTTGATAAAATCTTATGATATTTGGATGATGTAGTCCCTTCACAGCGTCAACTTCGCGCGGTAAGAACTTTTGTGTATATTCCGCCGGCGATCTGCGTTTTGAAATTATTTTAACGGCAACCTGACATTTTCGTTCCTTAGACCAGGCCATTTTAACTCTAGCATAGTTCCCACTTCCAATTACTTTGCCTAAGATAAAGCCATAACGTTCCATAGTTGTTATACGCTTATCGTCGTCATCACTTTCTTGCAAGGAATTATTTGACTCATTCTGTGTATTACCTTTCGAACGCTTTTTCTCATTGGTAACTACTTCGATTTCATCTGTAGCATCCAATACATTATCTGAATCACTGTTTTTTGCACGCTTAACTCCTTTTTCACCTTCTGGTTTATATGCATTAGATGTTGTGGGTACTTCATCTTTTTCAGTTGTGTTTTCTTTGTGCGCAACTGTGTTAGGTTTTCCATTGGTTTCTTGTTTTACGATTCTATTATTTTTAGGCTGTTCTATTTTAGCTGTATATATAGCAGTGGGGTTTATTTTAGCTGATGCTGCTAATGTTTGTTTTTCATATTTTTTTCTATTATCCTCAGTTTGAGCTATAGTGAGTGAATCATCTAAGTCATTCTGATTATGTTTTTCAATTTTTTTTGGTTTATCCTGTTTGTCTTTCATGTTTTCAAAAATAATACTAAACACCAGAAAGTACCACCCATGAAAATTATTTGACACCCATGTAGACTATCTCATCTATCTCATCTAACACATTTGATGGACTTATATGGCGACACAATTACTACCTAGCATTACAACTGAAAAAGATCTGGTGAAAACGGAACTATTTACTGCTGATTTTGTAAAATTTGGCAATAGTCTAAAATTTTATTTCTTGAAATAATTATTTTATTTCACTTTAAGGTTTTTTAAGTTTTTATATAAAAATTTTGACTTTTAAATGACAGAAAATTATTTAGAATTATTTTTTTTACAACAAAGTAAGGTGCATGTTATACAGACAATCAGTGAACATGATTTGAAAATATTGTTGTTGTTAACATAAATTAAAAAAATTTGAATGAGAGAAAAGGAGAAAATTGGTCACGGTGACGTTGGTTTCTGTACCTCATTATGTCTAACACACGATAAAACTGCACTCTCTCACTACAAGGGCTGATAACTCTCAGAATAGTTGAATTGTACGGAAATACAATGGTCAGCGACTTTAGGTTAGTAGTGCGTTAGGCCTCGTATATTAGCCTATTTAATCAGAATAGGGATTTTGTGTGAATATGTAAGTATATAGCTTGTTATATAGATACTTTTTACAAATGTAAATAAACCTTTTAAAAGTATAAAATTAATTTTTCAATTGGGTCTACAGAAATATAAATCCAAAAATCCGTGGATGACTGATGAAAAATTTGATCTGATAAATCAAAGAAGAAGGTTTAGAAATAAAACCAACAAGACTACAATCGCTTACATAGTATCATTAAAACTAAAATACGGCAGGCTAAAATATCATGGTTGAATAGCACATGTTATGAGATAGAAAGACTCCAAAGAGCTCATGACGATTTTAATGTTCATAAAAAACTCAAAGAAACAAGTGGCGTATACAGCAAAAATCATGCTTCATACATGATAGACAACTGAAACAGAATAATAAGCTCAGAGCCTGAACTTTCACTTATGTGGATGGAATATATTGAACAGCTGTTTACTGGTAGCACAAGAGAACCAAGAAATTTAAAAAGTACGTCAGGATCAATGATAAGCAAATCTGAGATTTTAAAGCCAATAAAATCTTTAAAAAATAATAAAGCTGCTGGACCCGACAATCTCCCTGCGGAAATAATAAAATTGTTTGAAAACGTAAGTATCGAATATTTAGAAAAGATACTCAATAATGTATACAACACTGGTATATACCCAGATTACTGGCTACAATCGACGTTTATAGCGCTTCCCAAAAGGAAAAATGCCTGAAGATGTGATGAGTTTCGCTTAATAAGCCTAATGAACCATAGTCTCAAATTAGCGGTAATGGGACGCACAGAATTTAGATTTAGAAATGCTGTGAGAACTCGAGAAGCTGTATTCTGCCTACAAGTCCTGGTTCAAAAATGCAAATATATCCAAAAAAATGTTTATATGTGCTTTATAGATTACAAGAAAGCATTTGATAAAGTAAAACATCAAAAACTAATTGAAATAATCAGGAGTATTGACATTGACAAGAAAGGCTTTCAGTGTATTTCAAAACTGTATTGGAATCAGACGGCTAGTATTCGTTTTGGTGACTTAACAACAGACCGCATACCAATAAAACAGGTGTGAGCCAGCGGTGTATACTATAACCACTTCTATATATATGCCGAATGAATATTTGATGATGCTTTTCAAAACTATAACGACAAAGCTATCAAAATAAACGGTCAGTATATTAACAATAGCTCTTTTCGTTTGTAAGCATATCACAAAAGAACAACTGCTTTTTTTAAAAATAACGTATGAAGCAACAACACTGCTGGCTTATTTATGCCAACCTCTTTGAAATCGCTTAACTAATAAGTAGTCCAAATCGTATAGTTGCCAAGACGATTTTTTAGAAGTACGTAGAAAAATTTCATCTTCGAAATTTTAACTTTAAATTTTATTACGTGTTTTGCATATGTAAACCTAACAAAATTTCCATTTTATCCAGAGTTGCCATCGAAAGTAGTGCTTATTTTACTTTTGCGACATGCTTAAAAATAAGGCCTAATGTAAGGTACGCTAACGATACCACGGTAATAGTGGACAATATTCATTACTTACAGGAGCTGATAACAGCTCTAAGTAAAACAAGCAAAATTTATGGCTTAAATATAAACGCAAAATAGACAAAGTTTATGGTAATCAGTATAAAGCAAAGCTCTGACCCCACTGCGAGAATTGTAATTGATAATCAGAATACTGAGCATGTTTCAAAATTTAAGTATCTGGGATATTCTTTGAAAAAGCTTTGGGACCCAGATCAAGAAATCAAATGTGAAACGAAATGTCTAGAAGTAGTTTCATGTAGTACAAAAAAATATTGAAGCATCCAAAATTTAGTCTACTGCTTAGAATGAGATATATGAAATGTTACGTATGGTCAGCCTTACTCTATGGAATAGAAACTTGGGCTCTTAAAGCAACCGCAATGTATAGACTGGAGGCTTGCAAAATGTAATGTTATCGCCATCTATTTCCAAGACCACTGATGATGGGTATTTGGCAATACTCGAAACAACTATATGGTCAGACAACAATTCAATTTATATTAAATTAAATTAAGAAAATAAATTACTAATATATACACTATTTTGAATTTTCCTGATATTTTCTTCATTCTGTAGCTTAAACAGCACTATTCTGCATATTATTTTCAAGTCTTCTATACTAGGCGGTGAATTCATGGTTCAACTTCATTGGTTGCATTTTACTAGGGAATTATAATTTCTTAATGTAATTATAATTAATTATGATTATAATTTCAATTTATTTCATTCTGTTGACTATTTCATTCTGCGTAGTTCTTTTTTGTGCCATTCGTATAATTGAATAATTCGTCTTTATGTCAATGAACCTCATTTTTCAACCCTTCATTTCACTATACCTATGTTAATTCAAAAAATTTTGGAAGTCCCTTAGGTGTTCATTTTTCTCAATAATTCTACATGTATTTCAGTTCTTAATGAATAATTTTTTATTAAGTATAAACACCCAACAATATTTTCGTGAAGTTATATATTTTTCAAGGGAATTTAAAGTATTCCCTTCCTTTTTAAAGATATACTGAAATAAAATATTATATCTTCATCGTTTTAAATATTTCTACTCCAAATCAATTTCACATTCAATAACGTTTTTTATTTCATAATAATTGCTTAATAAAGTTACAATTTATAAAATATTCACTTAGAATTATAAGGTGAAAAATTGTTCCATTTCGTTCCAATTTATCCACGGGAATAACTTGACGCACCTCTATGGATCCACCGCTGTCAGTTTTATTCATGAAACTTTTGATTTTAGGTATTTCAGGGATTGCTAATCTAAGCATGAAATTTGAGAAAATATGAGAAAATATGAATTCAATGAATAAATATATATAAATAAAATATCATTAGAACTTATCATGTGCACTCGCTATGTGATGCAATTTAACAGGGTGGCAACCCTATATTACAGTGTACACTTATAAAATAACTGTAGCTTAGTAACCAAAATTTCAAAACAAACAAATATTGAAATAAATGAACTTATTTCGATTGGAATATAAAACTAACATGAAATTAAAAACCAAACTCAATTTGCTAAGAATAAACGTAATATATGTGAAAACCAGTAATAATTTCGAATCTATGTAATCTTATTGATGGCTGAATTGCATATAATTGGAGAAATAAGCAAAGCTATTGATTTTGTGGAACCACATATATATTGCAAGTGGAGCTTACAAAGCGGTAAACTACATACTCTCACAAGTATAGTTGGATTTTGCGATTTGTTTATAAAATGAATACTTTTAGGATCTGCGTGGAAACTAATACAAGGTGATACTGAAGGCCAGACTGTTATTGGAACCAATCGATTGTATCAAACATCTGATTTTACACAACCATTAGATATACACTTAACCACAGCATCATTACAAGGTTGGCCGAAGCTACATGTAGAGATTTATGCTGTTAATGTATTAAATAAAAGCTGGCCGGTCGGTTACGGCTTTGCACATATTCCGACAAGACCGGGCACGCACAAATTAGAAATACCTACTTGGAAAATCGCGCCAACATCTTTTCTTGAATCGGTGCAAGAAAAATTTGGTGGAGGAGGTTTGGCTTTAAGTAAAGCTGATTTAGTTTTTACAGGACTAGAGAGGTAAAATAATAGCCTTTTTTGGCGATGTGTGTACTTTTAGTAGAGTAATTAACTTGTGCATAAAAACTATATATTTTAGATATAAACTGCAGACGCGTACATCTGGAAAAATTTTGATTGACTTATATCTGATTTGTCGTAATTTTGCCAAATACGGTGTTGAATATCAATAGGCAATTAAACAATTAAAATGAATTGCTACACTCCATTTAAAATACTTATAATTAGCACTTTGCTGTTTGAAGTCCAAATGATCAAAATTGGCATTTCACAACCAATAAATTCGACTAATTATAGTAATGAGATATTAACCACTACAACAACAGTTACTACTAGTGCTAGTTCTACTGATACTAATACTGCTATAACTAGTTCTGCTAATACTAACTCCGTCACTACTAGTTCCACTACTATTAACTCCATCACTAGTTCTACTACTACAATTGTGCCCACTGAGCAGACAATAGCAGAAAATAATTTCTCTACTACAGTTCCCATAACACAAACCCTACCCACATTTCCACCGAAGAAAAGTAAAGATCCTCCCACAACCACTACGATTGCAACATCATTAAGCACAGCCCCGACACTGGTGTCTAGGGAGAAAGGCAAAGAAATGGATGCAAACAGTGAAACGAAACACAAAATCGTGACAATCAGACGTAATAATTATGACTGCTTTTGTAATTTGAGGATCGATGTATGTGACATGAATTGCTGTTGTGATATTGAATGTCCGGTTGAGGCCTTAGAAGTTTTCAGTTGTTTGAAGGAGCAACAGCATTTCGATACGCAAAATACTCCAGATAATATATATTACAAGCATGGACTTCCCTTATGCAGTGTTAATAATAGCTGGCTTTGTATTTTTCGAGCGAATTTGTTGTTCAACGTTAAGGTTTGTACTCTCAGTTTGTAGAGATTTCTAAGAATTGAATTCATTTTTTTATACCTAAATTTAATATAGAAAATTGACCAAGAGTTTGACATTAAAGAAAGGCATAAATGGCCCAATGTATTAGAGCGTACGATTGAACAAGAAACAAGACCGGTTGCTGCATCTTTGAAATATGGAGATGAAATACAAATTATAAACCTTCTGGATTATGAAATACGGAATATTTGTAAGTGAATAACATTGTTTTTGTACTGTATAATCACTGAATAATCATGAAGCTTATAAGGAATACATAAATTAGTCAATGAGATGGGTGGGACCCTGTAGTACCCCCAGCTATCAAAGAGTAAAAGTGCCCAGTTGCGCTGACTCAAAAAAAGGATCAACATACATGCATACTTTAGAGATATATGCATATATTCCCTTCTAATAATAATACTTTAGAGATATATGCATATATTCCCTTCTAATAATAAAGATCTATTAAAAACATAATACCCTGAGATGGGGATTTGCATGCTAAGGCAGCATTGTATTCAGCTTATTTGTCTATTTTTCACAATGAATATACAAATATCTCTTATTGCTCCCAATTCATATCGAATGTTTAAATGTTTTCAAGCAATAAATATCTTTCGATATGCCCCCATGTTGTTTTTGCGGACTTTTCTTATCAAAGCCCCCAGAAACAACAATTTTTGCTTTCTGGTTTCAACAGCTGACAAATTGTTTGCCTTCTTAACTGCCAAGAAGATGTCTGGAAAAACATTCATTTCTATTAAAGTGACACCATTTACATTTAGATAGTGTGTTTGGAAAACGGGAAAAGCCTGATTTTTCTAGTATTATTATGGGCTAGTTGTAAAAAAATGAGAGGGTGATATGTACATAAGAAATAAACAAACTTTAAAATAATGACCACCCCAATATATGTATACAAATATATTTTTATGCAAATATATATTACTTACTACTTAATAATTACCAATATATATATACTAGACATATCTGAAGGACTACCGTACTGTGATTTTCATTACCCTATTCTGCATCTGAGAACTTTAACTACATCCTGCCTGCTTCGGAGTATTGAAGAAATGCAAGCGAATAAATACAAAATTCAACATATCGCAATGGAAAACAATTTGTTAAGCAGGCCGTACTCGGAAAAAATCACAAATTTAGACCTCATTTCAGAAGATATTAAGATGTTGACTCTACGCAGATGTGTTCGAGCGAGCTTTAATAGCGTTGAAGAGAAATGCGAGCATCTTCTGTATAAAAATGTCACCAGTGATGAAAATAACATTGCCATAGCCTATGTGTTTACTATATTACACAACTACACAAATATTCTGGGCGGAAATATTGACCTGAAGGAAATTGAAGCCAGTAGCATAAACGTCGAAACACGATTTGAATATTGGCAAACGTACACTGTACAATTTTTACCCGTATCCGACTCTGCCACAACCAAAGACACCGCAAACATTGACGACTTATTAGAACAGCCCATACACATTGCATCTGGTCCTTTGGGTTACTTAATTGGTAAACCAGTAATAATTTCTCGTTATATCCCCAGAGATGCCAACCAGGAAGCGATCAAAAATGACAAACTTATAGAGTACTATAATTTCAATTCCACCAACCCACATATGCAACACACACTCAGATTGTTTACAACACATAAGAAACATTGTTCTAAGAACTTAGTGAATCCAAGTTTTATAAATTTTGGTATAAACACTATGAAGGAATGCAATCTACTTTTTAATAAAAATTCGCTGTTTTACATGAAAACGGAAAACTTTACTTTATTATGCAATGAAATACAAAAGGCTATATATGCCAAATTTTTCGAAGAAGACACCACGAACTTATTGGAACTATCGGATATCTTGATATCTCAGTATGGTAAGCCAAGCAAGGAGAGCAATAAGTGGTTACCTTTACAAGTACAAAATGCCGATGACATCCCAATTTTTGGTGAATTCAAGGAACAGACGCAATCCTTTGTTTGCCATAACATGATCGTTAGTGCAGCTTATGAATTTCAATACGAAGTCGTTAATCTGTACAATATAAAAAACCAAGCGCTACTTAAACATGCAGAATTAATTATGGGACAGCGTTTGGATTTAGAATTCGCTCTTTATGAAGCTTTGATAGTACCGCTGACTGTGTCAGTCATGTTCTTCGATGTTAACGAGATTGATCATTTCGCAAATTCGCAAGGAACTTCGAGCTTTATAAATAGTATTGCATATAATTTTTATTTACATAGCTTATTATGTTATATCTTTCTTAATTACACTTTTACATCAATACATTAAATTTGTAAAACAAGAACACAAATGAATTAATTTATAATACATAAAATATTTAAATAAATAAAAGGAGCAATCCACATACATAGTAAATTATACTATATTGACTTTATTTTACAAGATTAAACTATACTAAATAAGCTTATGCATTTTTTTCGACGTAGGTTTAAAATTATGTTTAATTTTATTTATAAGAAACTTCACACTTTGAATATCTTATAATTAATAATATCTCATAATATCTTTTTAAATTTTTAATTAAATCTATTCTTTTTACAAAATGTTAAGTGAGATGCCGTCATAAATAAATATGTCACGTAGTCGTGCTATGTTTTAAATTCTGTTTTTATTTTTCACACGCAGTACGTTCTGCCTGTTTAGGGCAGTTTTGTTATTCAAACAGAAGATCCAGCCCTGTTAAAGGGGCTTCTGCTATATAAGATAAAACCATATATATATTTATAAGAATGTCAGACTTTTTATACATAATTTTCTTTTTATTCACAAATTTTTATTTTATATCTCTGATCAATAGAGAATAATTGTGTCATGATATCAAACATAAAACATTAAACTATACAATATAATATAATAAATCAAATATAATAAAAAGTTATCAAAATGTCTGAAATATTTTAAAAGCTATAAATACTTTACTACCATTGTTACATTTTTACTATTTGAATAATATTTTTGATTTTTAGACATATAAATTACATGTTAATAATTTGTTTTTTTTTACATATATGTATTATATTCTATATAATTATATTTAAATTTCAATTAAAGAAACGTCCTATGTTTCTATGAAGAAACACTTCAAAATTATCTAACCAATTTCATTAAGATCAGTGTTATATCACTATCAGACCTATAAACCTCATACATTTCGAAAGTGTTTCAAGCATACTTTGAACCATTAACTCGGTTCATCGTTTTTAATGCAGGCTCTGGTGCACAACTTATACGATTTAGAATATATTTAATATTAAAATCAGTACAAGTAATGTAATGCACACAAAAATATGTTATATATAAATTTAAAATAACTTTAAGAATTGGGTATAAATCACATTTGAATTCGTAAAGCAACATTTTGTTAATTTTATAAAAATATATCATAGTAATCAAATTTTTAAAACATCTAAGTCTGGTCCAAAAAACGTGCTTTATAAAATCATTAAAATATGTTTGGTAGTCCCATATTCAGATCACAGCTAGTACCAAAAAAGTGTTGGCGTCATTAGTCTAGCGTCATGTCTAGTATCACTGGGGATCAATACCGTCATGTATGGCTTACGAGTGGTCATAAAAACCTAACATAAACTAATAAACTCTAATAATGTTTTTTATATATTTTATATCCGACTAAAGGTCACCTTTTTTTTTTTGAAATTAAAATTAAACGATTGTTTAATATTTTTAAGAAAACATTCAGAAATCAATATTTTAACCGGGGACAAAGGCAATAACATAACCGTAACAATGTCTGAAGAGGTTTATGAAAACTGCATGATAACAATACTCAAGGACTTAATCATGTATCTATGGCTGAACAATGATCCAACATCGTTTTTAGAAAGGAAAAACAACGAATTTATCGAAAAATTATACACAAAACAAATATCAACAAGAATTACAAGAATTTATGGATTCCCCAAAATCCATAAAAAGAATACACCATTTAAACCGATTTCCTCATTTCTTAACTCCTTAACATATGAACTCAGTAAATATTTGGCCAATATACTAAAGAACCTAAGATTCCAAACACAACATAAAAAATTCTTCACAATTCAAAGAACTTGTTAATAACAGTTATATACAGACAGAGGAATCATTGGTATCTTTTGATGAAGTATCATTGTTCCCTAATATTCTAGTAGAATATGCTTTCGAGGTAATAAGCAGCAAATGATGAAAGGATAAACAAGTATACAAAAAAATTAATAAGAAACTTTTTATAAATATATTACGTTTCACCATTAAGGACAATAGATATTTCAAATACACAGAAAGAATACACCCAACTTAGAGATGTACCAATGGGTTCACCTTTGTCACCTATAGTAGCAGACATTATAATGGAGGGACTACTCAACACATACATAGAAAACTCAGATTGCTGTTGAAATATATAGATGTCATATTTACAATATTAAAGACGAGTGCAGTTGAAACAGAAATCTCGACTCTGTAGCCATTAGAATTAATGACAAGCTAAAAATTGACTGGTTTCAAAAACAAACTGCCTTATGAAGACTAATAAATTTCAACTCAAAACAACTTAAGAGTATAATAATCACCACAGCGAAGAACTTTGTGAATGAAGTACTTGGAACAAGTGATACAATATTTCACAAGGCGAATAATAACAAAATAATGGAAATAGAAGGTTAATAAACTAATTTTATGTAAAACTAAACAAAGAAAAAGAAATAAACGAAAAACTAGTGAAGGAACCAAAAATTTACAAATCAAAGACATATATATCCCGGGATTAACCGAAAAAATTTCAAAATTCAAAATATTATGATAAGAACAACTATACAATCGCAACGAATAATATTGTACAACTTTTTTATAAAACAAAAACAAAAATACCAAAAGAAGAAAGATCCAATGTACTATATAAAACACCATTCATGGGGAAACACAAAACAAAGTGACATGATCTATATTGAAGCAACTAAATAAAGTTAAAATCAATGGACTCAAATCCACTGATAATAATATGAAGCCGGTTTTGAACATGCAGAAGTATTGATCGAAGAGAAGAGCTATAGAAGATAGTGAGACTAGAGATGCTACATATCGTACAAATACCACAAAATAAGAGAATTGATTAAAAGACAGACACTGATTAGTAAAAATCAGTGCAATATGGACAACAGAACCAAATCATGACAAAGTAATCATTCATTATAGTTATTTTATTAATGTTTATTAATTGTAGCTAAAGCATATTTTAAAATTACTTGTTAAATGCTACAATATACACATTTTTTAAAAAATTTAATAATATATACATTTATAAATATATACAGCATTGCTGACGAAAATTGCCAAAAAATTTTGTTTATTGTTGTTAAATTTAATAAAATATAAATGAAAATATAAGAAAAAAACTTTAAATTTTTAAGTAAATTTATTTTGGTTCAATATGTCATGAATTAGGAACCACCTCTAGCATTGGCCTACAAGCGGCCAATGAAGTTATCGCATATTTACTTTCAATTATAATGATTCTATGGTGCAAATAAATAGGTTAAATTAGATATGCAAAAATAATGCATTTATATTTATGTCTAAAAAACATATACTCATTTATCGTTTTTGGTATATGAACCGTTTTAATTATAGTAACTTGAGTAAGAGTGCTAACATATTTAAATCGGATATAATCTGACACCACATTTAAACTTCAAAAGGGACTTTTCTAGTCATAAGAGTGTATACAATTGGATTGCAAAATTCCTTACTTAAGTTATATTGTGTGTGTGTAGTGCACATCCACTTCAATTTAACTTAAATACATAAAGACGTTTCGAAGCCTATACAAAAGACTTTGTTTGATGCAGTCTATTATCTGATATTAATCGTAGTTTTTTATTTTTAATCGTCTTGCCAATTCCAGCAGGTACAGTTTTTTCCACGTTGTTTACGGTATAGTATGACGTCTTATATATTGTATACTCGAAGTCAACTCCATCTGAAGTCAAATACTGCTTTTAAAACTCACAGAATTGTGTTAATAATAAGAACTTCTTATTGACTCTGTTTCTAATTAATCATCATCATCAGCAGAATCAATCATTTATTACCTAAAAATAAATTATTTATTAAAGATGCACTTACATTGAAACAATAACGTAATTAAGTTTTGCATACCAACAAATTTATATATTAATTCAAAGCATTTCATCAAACTGATATTTGTAGTATCTTAATATGAATTTCATAGTGATTTAATCCCAATCCTTCCATATCTTATTCGACCGTACATCCATTATACTGTATCCATTATGACTATTTTTGATGAATTTTTTATTAAAGTCTAGATCTGAACTCCAAGTTCTGATATTCTGTATTAGTTAGTAATAGTGCTTCCAAATCTCCTAATGTTAAACTAAACCACAGATGTGGTTTTGAAGTTGTGATGCGGCTTTTTTATTACCAAGCCTTTTGGAACGTGTTTAAAAAACTGAAGTCGGAGTTGCAGCCGTAAAATGTCTATTATGGCTATATCTGGAAAAAAATTTACATGAATTATAGTGATATAATAAAATGAAACTTAGGAAAAAAAATTTTCGAGGACATCTATTGGTGAATGTAAATGGGAGCGGGATGTCTTTCAGAATTTTTTCTTTTTTTTTTATTCAACAATAAATCCTTATTGAATCGCTTTAAGTTAAAGACTAACAAAAAGTTTTAGAATCTTTAAGGCTAATAACATCACAATACAAATTATTTTATATAAACATACCATAATGATATATATAATGATTTGTAAATTATTTCACGGCGTATAAGTTGAATTAATCAGGATGATCTTTAGAAAGGCAGGATGGCGGGTCTATCATTGCTTTCACGGCGGTCTTTCAAAAATGAAAACTATTAAATTTAGAATGATGAAACAATGGATAAAATTAAAGAATATTGTAATATTCCTGAGACCTGCATTAACATAACATATAAAAGAAGTATGTATAAAACTAATCGAAAAAATGTATCATCCGTTTAAGGATATTATGTGAAATTCATACCTTATACGGATATAACAATATAAATTTTTAATTAATTATTATAGTAAAGGATAAGTTATTCAAATTTAGCTACATATATACGATACTATAATGGATTTTAAATAAAGCTTCAAATATTATTCGGGCTGCTTGGAGCTTCGAGCATTTAGATCTGTGTTTCTTCTTCAAGCTGTTCGATATTGTTCGACAAAGATGTCATAATCGGATATTTGGTATCATACTATTTGTATAGAACGAAACAAAATTTAAGTGCAGCAGAGCAGGGCTGCTGTCCAAGCACCTCAAATATCTTTGATTATAGTGTGCGATTCAAATGTTCAAACTTGATTGTAATCACACTGGTCGGACATCGTACCGTTCGAACATTTTGAAGCAATAATATATTAATATAATTAAATTGCAAAACCAATTGAAATCTTCACATATTAAAAGGAAAGACTGTTATACTGAAGTTATAATTATAATCTTATAAGCATAAATAAAATGTGAGTACGTGAATAATAAACTTTTAACAGATCTAAAAACCAAAATAATTCGTGCCACCTTTTCGATATTTCCTCATTCAGAAATGTCTAACTTATGTCCGAGACTAACAGCACTAAAGAGCACGATCTATAAGATATTATAAATCCATGCTGCGTATATTTATGTAAATTGAACTTGACATTTTTATTGACATTGACATTGACATTGTTCAAGATTAAGACATTGCTAATCAGGTTAGTAGTAATATTGAAAACATAAATTTTTATATCTAATGCAAGACCTGCAAGGTCCCATATTAAGTTACTGATATCACCCCATTGAAGATCAATTATTACTATTATTATTTACTACAAGGAAATAAAATTCTATAGAACCAAGTGCATTTTCCTTGCTTCTTGAGTCCCTTACTTGGAAATCCATTTTTCACTTATATGTAAGTTCATCGACCATCTAACATAACACAAAGTGTCATAAGTTCTACACATAAGTTACACACACCTTTTCCACTTTAAACAAAAGTAATATGAATATTTTTAAACCTAGTAAGACTTGAAGATGATATAATCTTATTATAAAAAAAAAATTTATTTTTTTTATTTATTTAGTTTTTTATGATTAGGCTTAAAAAGTAAGAATCCATTGAAATGAAGAAAATAAATCAAGAACGTAGCAAGCAACACAACAGCGGTTTTCTGTCAGTAAATTATGTTGGCACACAACGCAATATAGATCCCAATCAAATAAAAAGTGTTAGAGATCGAGTCGAAGATACTACAATTAACGAAAGACTGCAGATATATACACACTTCGATTTAGTTTCTTATGAAAATGCTGTGAAATGGTTTACCTTCCAAATACCATCAGGTAAAATCTTTTTTTTTCCAATTGAAACTATACAGCCTAAAGTACAAATATGTCGCGTTGTGGCATCAAAGCGATTGCCTAGAAATGTTGCTGAGGATCGTCTTCGACGTCTATACTCTAATTATAATTTAGTAAATGAGTTAAACGCAGTTGGCGTCCATCACGATGATCTTCTACCAACGCAAGAACAATTTTATAATAAAATTGACAGCAAACGCTTTAAACATTTCCTGCCCTTAAGCTTTTTTGACGATTACAATTTCGACGTTCACACGCCGGAGGCTTGGTTAGCACTGGGATACGTAGACGGCAAGCACTATTCATTAATAGCAAGAGCTTTCATACCAATGCATGGTACGGATTCTGTATACGATTGGAAATGTGTTCAAGTAAACGACTTCAATAAAGCAAACGACATGTGGCATATTACATGTTTGGAAACTGAAATAGATTATATGGTCTCCAAATACCAGGTAATGTTCTTTGCTGAGAGTGCCAAAGATTTCGCACAACGTTTAAAACAGGCTATTGCAAATCGCGATGATGCAGAACTGCGAATAAAAATTGACTCAATTATTGATTGCGTCATACTACAGGATCTACAAACAAATAAACCGACATTCATGTTCAAAACCATTAGAAATCTTCTTCGAAATTATAAGAATAATATGACTTTTTATAATGCCATTTGTCGAGAGGTTTACGTTTTGCATGAACACGTGATGGCCTATTATGACTTTGATAATTTTTTAAAAAAGTTCTCACAAGATTTTCCCGGTACAAAACAAGAAGATATTCAACATGTGATGCCTAAACCAAATTTTCCTAAAGTTGATTTAAACATGCTGATGACAGTAGACTTCACTATGATTAGACTCAGAAAGAAATTGTTTAAACAGACATTGTACTACGTAAATGCGAGCGTGCAAGCGATGAAGAGTGTTTGGCGCGAATGCATTTACGTGCAAACCTTATCGTTATTCATTTACAAGCCATCGAAACCATTGACGCTTGCAGAGTTTGAAATCGAACAATATTCTTTATGTGAATCAGTGTCGAGATACTTACTGAAGCCGTGGCCCAAAAAAATCTCTGACGTAGTTACGAATATTTTGCGGGCCAACGGCAAAGGTTGGCTAGATATTTGTTTAAATAGATGGCAAGTATATGAATTCAGTAAGATAATACGTTTCGTATTACAAGTCAAGCTCCGTATGGAATCTTGTTTACAGATGCTACTACAGCAATCCGTAGAAATGTTTATAAATTATTTAACTCAGCCCTGTGCAAAGTTTTTAAAATTGCCAACAGATTATGAGTGGCCACATAATGAATTTATAGTGTCCAAGTTTCAATGGGCTGAGCCTATATTTAGTTTAGAAATTATTATTGACAAGAATAGGAAAGTATATTACTCTACAGCACCGGAATTATTTGAAACCACACTGTGTCAAATATTTCAAGACACTGTAAGGAGTATAGGGCGTATCCGATGCATTGATGCAAAGACTATGTTAAAATTACGTTTCCCACCCAACAATTATTTAATGACAATTGAACTGGCGGTAGAATTGTACATGAAATCACTTGATGACCTTAAGTTATCCTATATAAAAGCTATACTACCATTAAAGTCGTACTGCAAACAATATGAACGCTTCGTTGACATATGCGTATTGAACGTCAATGAATACATGAAAGAATATGAGATAAAACAAAATCCATCTACGACAGTGAAAAATGATATTTTGGAATATAGGCGTCAAAAAGAGGAAATTCAAAGAATTTTACCAACAAATATAACTATAGGACCATTTCTTATAAATGTCAATCCATTGAAACAATACATGATCAAAAAGATTAGAGGACTTGTGAAACGTATATTCGAATACTATGTTCAACGTATGTATGACATCAATTCCAGTCTGCTCTTAAAGTGTTCAACGACATTTAAAAATTTAGATGAGAAACCTAGAAGCATTGAGCATTTGTATAAGATTAGGGACTTTTGTGACAATATACAGAAATACATAACAGAACTAAAATCTGAAATACATATCATGTTTATAGAGTACGATTTATTGGACAATTTCTTTTACAACATAAGCGATAGTCAATTCGATATGAAATGGCAAGTATTTGCTTGGCCTCATAAAATACTGACGCGAGTCAGCACAATACGTGAAGAACAAAAAGACGATTTTGAGGAGTTCCTTCGTGCACATAATCTCGAATGCACAAATTTTGAAGAACATTTAGAGAATCTTAACGATGAAATACAGATATTGTCACTACGATTTGATCCAGACAGGGCAATAGAAACTGGAGTAGAGGTACATGCTTTTATAAACATTTAAATCTCAGATCACAATCTCAGATCATTTAAGTTAAATATTACTTAAGTCTCATATCGAATCAGCTTGTCAAAACGAGAATATCAATTATTTAAATGTTTTTAAAAGCGAAAAGTGACAAAAATATTGACAAATGTGTTTTTCTCATTATGTTTAAAAAGTTTTCAATGCGAACTCATCTTTGCAGTTCAGTTGATTTGATATTAGTAAACGGCCATGTGATTTCTAAGTTGACTTTGAACGATTAGACGTCTGTTGAACTATTTCGAAAACGTATAGTTTTCGCTCAATTAGATCTGGAAAAAATTGATTTTTGTTAAAAACTGCATTACTGCAAGTGATATATATATAAGCTTAGAAGGATTCTTACCACTTATCATAATTAAGGAAGCTAATTTGCTAAATGAAAAACAGATTCCTAAACGATCGAATAATTTATTCTTACCCGTTCTATTAATTTTGTTCTTTCTAAAAACCGTGTTGAATGACTTTTTTTGAATTGAATAAATTAAAATTTATATATGGTATATAAGGACTTAAAACTTACTTATTAAATTTTGAATATAACACTTTTGTATTGTATTATATTATATTATATATTTGATGATTTTCAATAATATTTATTATACGTTATTAGGTTAAGAAACTTACTAACGTAATAGCCGACTATCAAGCTGAGGGTGAACTTCTTCAACGACGTCATAAGCTATTTGGCTTATCAGACTATTCGTTAAAATTTTTGTATAACCTCAAAGAAAGTTTTGCACCATATCGAGACTTATGGACTGCTATCAATGACTTCATTAAGCTCGAAGAAGCTACAATAGGAAATCCGTTACTTCAAATTGATTTGAAAGAGCTTGTAAGTTTATATGACGCAAAACGAAAGATATTGCACAAATCGTACAAAACCTTTGAAGAAAAACCCGAGTTACAAGATGTCGCACATTTTTACTTGGACAAAATGAAAAAATTTAAACTCATTTCTAATTGCATACTGCACTTGCGAAGTGAATATTGGTTATCTTTACATTGGGTGGAATACGCGGAAAGATCTGGTACAGAGACTAAATATTCAGCTTCAATCAATTTCTTGTATCTGATACGCAAAGGCATCTTACAACATTTAGATTTGGTTCGTGAAATAGCTGAAAATGCTGAAAGGGAGGTTGAAAATATAAAACGCGCGTTGCAAGAAGAGGAACGCTTGAAGGAAGAACAGCGGTTAGCAGTGATATTACGCAAAGCGAGACGTAAATGCCGCAACGATATTTGGTAATACAAGAACAAAATTAAAAAAAATCTAAATTCTAAAAATTCTAGTAGCTAAGTCTTTTTGTAATGTAAAAACATCTATACATTTCTAGTGAAGAACTAACACTAGAGGTTCAATCAATATCATGTGTAGATATAAAAAATTAATCTTTACAGATTTTATTTAAGAATATTTACAGTATTTAAAATTTTTTTTTAATACACTAATACCCCGATTTGCGTCGCCCCGATATGCGTTGATTCCAATTGCGTCGGTAGTATTTAGATTTGCTTCGTTTTTTAATACGTGTGCAAAGGCGATTCCCATTTAATTTCTTGTAGATCACATTTTTAACAGGGGACTCACATATATTGACACTTGTGTGGGGAAGTGAAAAGGTAAATTTTTACTTTATAAAGTATAAAAATGAAAATCGAGAACAAATTTTCTTGGAACAAAAGTTAGACATTTTAAAACGTTTTAAACTTGGAGAAAAACCTGCTGATATTTGGAGAATTCTGGGTTTAGGTCCAACTACTGTAAGAAGAGTTTGTAATCGGACTATGGAAAAATTGTCACACTTTTGCAGGCCAAACAAGTTACAAAAAGTAAAGGTCCATTAATTGTAAAAATCCAGTCCCTTCTATCTATTTCGATAGAAAATCAGATTCAAAGAAGAATGCCATTCAGAATAAGGTACTGTCGATATTTAATGAGTTCAAAGGTAATTCTCTATCAATAAGTGGTCAGAAACCATAATATTTTTGGAAATTAAATATGTGGAGAAATGTGATTCGATTTCCGTTACTTAGATTTGTGAAGCAGTTTGTCGGTCACAATTAACGCGCAAATCGACAACCAATTACAAAAGTAATAGTAAAAATACGAAATTGACAAACTAATGTGACACTCTGCTTAACGTGCATTTTCTTCTTAGTCCAAAAGAGCCAATTTTGAAGACCCCATGACAGTCTGTATAAAATCTGTATCAAAAATCTCCTAGGGCTACACTATGAGATTTTTGATATATATTAGAACTTTCAACATTGGACAATACCTTCAAAAATTTCATACATACAAATTCATCCATACAGTTGTACTAAAATTGTACTACAACCTGAACATAATAGTAATTAATAATTATCTGTTCATAAAAATTTCATAAGACTAATATTAATTAAAATATGAAACCAATTCGTCTTTTATAAAGACAAATTTTAAAACAGTTTTTAAATAATTGCACATCTACAACATAAACCTAAACACCTATTTTAAAGGTTTTAAATTTAGTCTGACACAGCTGGGCTAGTGGTTTTTCTTCGATCATAAAGCACCCATAATTTACAATAATTCAAATTTTTTTAAAAAAGAAAATAGTTTCAATTGCAAATTTAAAAGAAACTTAACAGGAATACAAATTTTAAGAACTATTCTCGTTTTTAAAATTTAATTTATGATCTATAAGAATAAATATAGGTTTTTTACAAGCGTACCACCTACGTACAAGCGTACAAATGAAAAAGATACATGTAGAATAGAAGTAAATTGTATAAAATATTTGCTATTAAAAACGAATATTTTGTTGTTGTTTGTTGTGAAATTGAAAAATCAACGCGAGTATTTCATCGTTCATTATTTAAAAAGATTTCGTTATACTACTGTATACTTTATAAATTAGACTGCCGTGTTGTACTGCATTAAATGAGCATAGCAAGATGTACACTTTTTTAAAAATATTCACATAACATTATTTACAGGTTCATCAAACTGTAACATCAATATATTCTTATCTTAATACAATTTAACTTAGCTTTTTAATGCCATCACAAGTACACACCTGATTCATATTTCTGCTCCTTTCAGAAAACCTTCAAATATTTTAAGTAATTTATTATTCCCATGCATTTTATTACCGCAAAGCCATTGATGCAACTCAGTTAAATATACTTAAAAATACCATGCTTGTAATACTTCTCAAAAATAAATTTGATTTATTCGAAAATATTCCATTCGTCTTCATACTCCACAATAATCAATATCTAAATTTAATATATTTATTAATAATACTTGTACATCATTTAAATATCTATTAATACCTTTTACTGCGTCAGATACGTGTGAAAATTAACATATCATGTGTTGTCTCTGGTAGTGATAGAAAAGCACAGAGGAACTGTCATTCAGTCCATTTTTATATAAAATTTTAGGAATCTTCAAATTTTGATTCACTGAAAACAGATTATGTTTAATATACATTGTCAATAAAAACGAGAATTTAAATGTACCTTGTATCGGCAATCGGCAATTCCAAATTTAGCATTTCCTCTTATCTTTTCACTTTTCGACTCACATTCTTGCGAAAACAGATTTTTATCTGATGTCATAGGTTCTCTGATCTCGCCAATACCGTACCTTGCCGCTCCTAAAACATGGTTTTAAGTCTTCATATACTTGAAAATGTATTATCTCTCTCATTGTATATCATTAGTTAAGTTAAAACTGGATGGGATAGAATTAGTTGCAAGAGTTCTTAATATTCATCTCATTGATTAAAAACAAGTTTTATGTTAGACGCCGGCACGCAAATTGGAGTATTCCTGGAACCAACCAATAAATTTAAATTATACTTGAAATTTTTTTGTTAGTCATTATTACAGCTAAATATTATATATACTTACCATCATCGGTCTTAATGAAACCACAAGGCTGCGCCGCATATACAAACGAAATGTTTACTTCACAGGTTAACATTAAAAAAGAAACAAAAAAAATTCAATTTTCTGGCGGAACTACATCGGAAAGACTGCAACCCACCGATAATGTAAAAAAACACTACATTTTTGATTAAATAACTACGAAAATTTTACGATAAAATAACTTTATTAAAATATATACCTCAAAATAATTTCCAAACACAACAATTCAAGCTGTCTCAACAGTGCACACAAACCACATACAGCCTTTGACGTTTAATTGCCGATTGTCAAAATTAACAACAATTCACAATAGTTCAAGCAAAAATATACAACATTCACAATACCTTATTGTAAAAACTGTAATTTTTTCTTTCAGAGTAGTGGAAAAATACTCACAATTTACGAAAGTAAACATGTTAAGCAACAACAATGCTCTTAAAATCTTCAGAATTTAAAAAATACAAACATCATGTTTATACTTGAAATATAGATGGCGCCAGCACACCTTCCTTGAGTTTATTCCGCATTTGGCGCTGTGAATTAGCAGTTTTTTTTTGAAATAACTGGATTTTCGGTGAAAAATGGACAATTCTTAAAAAATAATTGTGAAAAAAACTGTGTGCTGGATCTTTTTTTGCATACGAAAGTATTTTTTATTTTTTGAATATCTCAGCTATACGCATCATACAATTGTGAGGCATATACTAAATGAAAGATTATTGATTATGATTATCTAAATCATAAATCTAAAATTTTATTTTTGGTGCAAAAGTTTGGCTAATTTGGCTAATTTTGACAAATTAATAAACTTAGTAAAATTTCGTATTCCAATTTCAGTTTGGTTTTCCCAGCGTCGTTGCTATCTAAATCTAAATTTAAGGCTCAGTTAGACGGTAAGTAAAGCAAGAAATTAAGAATAAACTAAATTAAGGCTTTGTTAGTCGGTAAGTAAGCAGCTGATTTTGTTTATATTTGAACATGTAAACAAAATATTTTCAAAATGTGTATATAAAACAATTGCGAAATTAAAGGCAATTATTGTTAGTAACATTACATATGTTACATCAAAAGTTCCAACCAGTAGTCCGCAAGTGCAGTAAATATCTATGGTATATTATTTTTGAACGAAAATATTTTTAGTGATATAATTAAAAATTTTTTTAATAAAATATTTTTATATATGACTAATATCTATTATATTGCTTATCTGAACATTTTTGTATTATTGTGTTATATATTTTAAAATTATATTGTTAATATTTTTTATTATTATTATATTAGTATTTATCTTTAATATTTATTATTAATTAAGTACTTTCTACTGATTATTGATCAATATATAAGACGTTATTGATATTATAAAATAATTAATTATAATTATGGTAACTATTTTAAAAATATTATTAATAAAATAAATTCATTGAAGTGTTTTCTGCTGATTATTTCCACTATGTGGAAATACAATCAATATTCAGCAATATCAATAAAATAATTAAATGTAAAAATATAATTTAGAAAAAAATTCAATAACATTTTAACTTAAACAAACAACAGTTCTTATTTTTTTAATCAACTCTCGTTTTAGAACGTGTTCAAGTAAATTGAAGCACTGCACTTATGTAAATATTGAATTATTACACATATTTATTAAACATCTGATACAATTTTTACAATAGTAACATCTAATTTACCCTACTCAAAATTCTGGTAAATACCAACATTCGCTGTCATACGGACATAATTTACTATTTTCCTCAATTTTCCTCAAATTTGCAACGCATCCACTCTCAACAGGGTTTTTCGAGCAACTGAGCACAATTTTTAAATTCGCTTAATTTCAGAACCTAATTGAATTTGATTTTTCTGTTGAATTTTTATTATAGTTATTTTTTTAATCAAACTTTTTAGATGAAAAAACTTTTAATTAATTCATTAGTTGGCAACAAATGAATAATACAATCATATTCATACTTGAAATGTAGATGGCGCTGGAAACACTGCTTTGAGTTTCCTGCTCGCTTTACGCTGTGATTGTGAAATTTTTTTTTAAAAAAAAAATTGAAAATTTTTAAAAAATGATTGTTAAAAAAATGTGCGGACGATTTTTAGTTTTTTGAAAAGGAAATATTTATTGTCTTTAGAGGAAAATTTATATCATTGCGGTATATTATTTTTTACTCACGAAATTATAATGATTACAGTAAAGTAAGCTAAAAAAGTTCTATTTTTATCAACTTTTTGTGATAAAAGCAAAATATGCTATTGTGATGTATTTTTAAATATATTTCAGTTTTAGTTTTTTATTTAGGTAAAATTTTTTGTAAACGGTTTTTCTGATTTTTACTTTAATTACAAGCTTATTTTATTGCCTTTTAGGTGAATATTCGTGCAGATCGGTTCCTCTTTTGGTTGTTTTTTTAATTATTTGTTGTAAAATAAGTCAGTTTTTACAAAAAGTTTGTTGTTTTTATTATTTGAATATCTCAGCTATTACGCCTCATACAATTGTGAGGTACATACCAAATAAAATATACCAAATTTTATATATTATTATATATATTATATTTTTATTTGGTGAAAAAGCTTGATGTCACTAATTAAATAAAAATAAGTGACAAAACCTGGAAAGCATAGAAAGTTTGTGCAGCCTTGACTATTTGTGGATAAACACGATTAATCATCGCTTCTAATTTAACAGGCACGATTTCCAAGCCTGGCACTTGGAATCCAAACAAATTATATACGGATTATAAACTAATTAAATAAAATTCGATTATTTCCAAAGACCACTGATGAAGAGTACTTGGCAATACTCGAAACAGCGTTGTATGGTCAGCCAAATTTCAATAAATTAAAAATAAAAAATTTTTGTCTTTGTCCTTTCTTTGCTATTCGAATCTGTCTAACTCTTAAATAGTTTCTTTCTTCATAAAAAGACACGCCATTATCGGCAAGAAAAAATTAACCTTAAAAAGCTTAAATTTAGCTAATTTTGATAAATTAATAAATTTAATAAAATTTCGTGTTCCATTTCCAATTTGGTCCTCCCAGCGTCGTTGCTATCTTGGCTCTGGCCAATTTTACTGATTTCCCTGCTCTGTCAGTTTATGTTTTGTGACAATGCAACACTGTGTGCGAAAGAAGAAATAGAAAAGGGAAACGTCGACGCGTCCGACTTTTTTGATTTTTAGCTCGTTGTAAATGCATTGTTAATAAAGCAAGAATTCATTTAAAAACATTCCGTTTAGTTGCCGTGCAGTGCAGTAATACAAATAATTACAAGTGCGCATAAACAAATTGAAGCAAGAATTGCATTGTTTAAAGTTTGTTTTACTTTCATTTAATATTTATATTTATGTACGCAACACAGCCACAGTCGTAACCGTAGCCGTAGCAGCAGCTTCAACAGTGTTCAGTTCCAGCAAATTTCATTTTAATTTCCCAGCGAATAATAAATTAAAGTGAATACAATGAAAATGTATAACAAAATATACAAGAAATGAAAAGTGTGCAGAAAATGCAGTGAAATTTATAACTGCACATTGCTATTAGTTAAATGTCAAATGCTAAATGCTAAATCTAATGAGAAAAAAATCAAACATATTTTTGAGTGCAAAATGTGAGTAAAAAAAAAATATATGCTAGAATAATTGCATAAAATGTATAAATAAAACTTTTAGTTAACATTAAAATTTAACTAAATTTTTGTGAGTAAAAATTTTATCTTTAAAGTTTTTGAATATAGTTAAAGTGAAGCCGGGACTTATGTTTTTCTTACTTAGGCAACCGTGCAAACTTTGGGAAGGTAAATGCATTAAGTTGCCGTTTATTAATTGAATGCTGCAAAAATGAAAGCCCCCACCACTTTTTGTTGTGATTTAGCATTTTCCATACATTTTTTTATACACATTCGTGCGCTCATATACACAAAATTTAAATATACATATACACACCCAAGTGTTGCGCACCCACAAATGGCAGTAACTGCTATTGCTACTGCCACTGCCACTGCCTCTGCCTCTGCTAATGCTAATGCTTTGTTTAAACATTGATTTGTTAATAACAAAAAACGCGAGATAATAATAGTAAAAGCAAAAACTGCAACTAAAACAACAATAAAATATAATTATAACAAAATTTTTTCTTCATGGCAGAGATGTACAGTAAATGGTGCGCACAGTGGTGGCAAATGTCTTACAACAAATATCGATAATATCAACAGCAGCAACAGCAACAGCAACAATAATAGCGGCAGCTGCGGAGGCAGCAGCAGCAGCAACATTTTGATACTGCAAGTACAGTATGAAAATCAAACAAGTGCGTGCGTACCATGTATCCAAAGTGTAGAGTACACAACTGCCGTTGTTGGCAATCATTAAAAAATATAAAATATAAAATGTTCATTCTAAACGAGAAATAAAATTAATTATAATTAATTATAAATTATAAATTATGCGTTAAGAAAAGTAAAAAAAGTAAAAACTAATATAAATCAATTTTCAGCTTTGGTTGTGATAATTATAAATTAAATTATAAATAACTTCGACGCAAAATCTAATAATAATCTAATAAATAAATAAAAGCAAAGTACAATTTTTATAGCATCTATGGCAGTATCGTAAATCTATAATTTTCGTGCAGAAAATATAGCAAAAAAAAAATAAAGCATTAAATAACTTGTATTAAAAAAGAGAAAAGAGAAAAAAATGATTAGCTTAACGTTGGTATGTGTTCGCTTCAGCTTATTAAGGTCAAACAGCAACCCACGGCCAGTCAACCTACCTGGTCGCGTAGATGTTGCGTTCGAATTTGTATTAAATATAGAAACTGTGGTCTATGCATGCCGCGATGAAATAAGCATCCAATACATCCTGTCGAAAGTGGCAAGCAAGTGGTAAACGCAACTAACGGAAACACGAGTTGCGGAATAATTGAACGCCCTATCTAATTAATTCCACTTTGTTGCTATTGTTGTTGTTGTTGTAGACTGTCAGGATCTGAAAAACAGATAAAATGTAAGGATTACAAGACGAATACATGGATGGGTGGAGTAAAGCGAGATGTAGGGAAGGGGATGTAATGTTCTCTTGTGTCAGTGAAAAAACTATAATCGAACAGGTACTCTTGAAGCAATTTTTGTAGCTCTCCTTCTTTGGCATTGATGAGATGAAAAATCCGTAGAACTTCTTATGCTGCTCATAGTACGTTCATAGCAGTATTTAGTAGCATAGTAGCTATCAATGACGGACTAGAGATAATCTACACTAAGGCCAACTGCATTTTTTTATGTTACATTAATACTTTGCTGAAGCTTGAACTTCACTGCAGCGGGAAGGATGTGTTTTCTTATTAATAATCAATCCCCAATACTTTGCTCTTCACTGCAGCGGGAAGCATTTGCTTTCTTATTAATAATCAATCTGTACTACTAGCCTCGAATGCACCCATATACAAATATATAGGATTGTTTGGATTTTTAGTTTTAGTTGAATCTTTTGTCTGAACTGATGTTAACATAATCCGCTCTAGTTTACAGTTATCGTAATTGAACAGTCAATTCACCCAATATTATAGCGTCCATACACTATAATATTCCCTTATAATCATCTCTTATTTTGGTGTTTTGGTGTTTTTTTGTCTCAGTGATTATACATTGGTTTTACTTGTAGGCTCTAAAAATTCGTATTATGTATTTTCTAGGCATTACGTATTGGAGCACATATATTTCTTAATTTTATTTTCGTATCAAATAAATCTGAGCGTTGTTTTAAAGTGGTCAAGAGCTATTGTGCAATATATATATAAGACTATGCGTAATAGACCACTATTAATTGAAAACATAGTACAACAAACAATTGTTTACAAAATGTTTTTACTATTTTGTAACCATAATTACAAGCTTGAGGGCTTATATACCTCGGCAAATGAGAAAATAAATATGTGAACATTAAATAATAAGTGAGATATTTTAAAAGATTTTTATGAATTAAACATTTTAATCCATACAATTTCCTCCATTTATCATTTCAACGTTTTACACAAAATGACGATTATCTTACAGAATGTATGAAAATTCAAGTGTACCTAAGCTGGCTTTTAGTTAACGTTAAATTATATCGCTGAACAAGGATTAAGACAGATTAACTAGATTGACGAGAGCCTAGTAGAATTTAGTAAAATATTTGCCGTGAAGTGTTGTACAAAGTATCTTATTTTCTTATTTAGTTGGCCATTACATACGTGAGTTGTTCTTAGCGATGTCCAGTAGCGTTACCCAGGCCTTGCGAACATTGGTGTTCTGTCATCAGTTGGTAGTACTTAGTCATTTTATATCGTTGGTTACCTGGTACTTTTACCAAAGATGCGACTGATCGCTACCACGTTTTCCACCAGCGGGTATAGAATCATTCACCTTTCTAGCAGTACCAATGGCACGGCAGGACCAAGCCAATGAAGCGGGTTAATGTATAAATAAATTTACTGATAGCAAATTATGATAACGGAAACGTTAATGTCATTCTGTCCTTTCAAGTGCACATCCGTAGACAATTTTATACTCTGTAGCATTAGAGGAAAACGATATCATTATACCAGGTATTCACCAAGTATTATACCAGTGTTATTCTATGTCTCTTAATTCGCATTGTATACAAATTTTCTTTGTGAATAATACCCTGTTGTTAATCGTAAACCGATAATTTGATCCACAATTGGATATTTATTAAAAAACTGAAAGAAAATGTTTTCTGAACAGAATTATATTGCAATAACAGAGTTCTTAGGTTTAATTAATTGAATTTTTGGCTAATCATACAGTTGTTTCGAGTATCGCCAAATACTCATCACCAGTCGTCTTTACGGAAATATTTCTAATGTTTGACTATTTCTAAATAACTTTTTTTCTAAATTGCAAGCACCTATTGTGGGACTTATACTCTGTCAAATTTGAAGTTCAGAGCAGAACTAGTGTTAATTAGCCAAGTGAGCCAAACTCGTACTTCTCTTGTTTTGTTCTAATTTGGAGATCTTGCGAATTTTGTTCTAAATTAATGTTCGAAAAACATTTCTGTTAAAAAAATAGGCACTTTAGTTATAATTGACTTTAAAAATCAAATTTAATATAAGAATAATGTTTTTTTATTGTAAAAAACTTATTAGAAAAATCAAGCAACAATAAATTATTATTTAAATATGTAAATTATACAACTCCTTTGGATACAGTTCCTGCTTTATGTATTGGGGGGTATACTACTTAGAATATTTTCGCAAAAGCTGAGGACATCACGTCTTGAATTTCCTTCAAAAAATGATGTGTAAAAAAATAAATCTAATTTAATGTTAAATTTTTTTTTGCCGAAACTGACGCGTCTTTATGTTATGACGAAAAGAAACTATATAAAAGTTAAACGGATTCGAATAGCAAAGAAAGGACAAACACAAAAATTTATTTAATTTTTATTGAAATTTGACTGACCATGCAACGCTGTTTCGAGTATTGCCAAGTACTCATCATCAGTGGTCTTAGGAAATAATCGAATTTCTTTATTAATTTAAAGTCCGTATATAATTTGTTTGGACTGTAAGTACCAGGCTTAGAACTCGTTCCTGTCAAATTAGAAACGATGAATAATCGTGTTTATCCACAAATAGCCAATGCTGCACAAACTTTCAATGCTCAAGTTACAGGTTTTTTGTGATACTAAATCTAAAAGTATATATTTTGTGTTTATTTGATAAATTTTAGTTATAAATAATTAAAGTTTAATGTAATTCTAATTATAAGAGTACACAAATTTTGAATTATTGGAGAACTAGTTTCAAACTTAAAGCTTTTTTCTCTTATCAATTAATATGTATTATAATGACTTGCATCTCAAAACAGAGAACGGTTTTAGAGCGATTGGAAGTTATAAGAATAAGAATAAGAGAATAATATTTTTGCTCGGAGCTCCTCTTATTTTCTGTTGCCTTAGGTGATCGTGAAACCGTATTAACGCTTATCGACACTATTGCAGATATTAAAAAAAAATGAAGCCATTGCTTAAAAAGTAGTAAAAACCTTTACAAAATAATGATTTGTATGTAAAGTTATTAACCGCACTGGCACAATATTCTACATATTCATATATGGTACATATTCTGCTTGCGTATGCCGATGATATTGATATCATTGGCCTGAACACCTGCGCCGTCAGCGCGGCATTTTCCAACTTAGAAAAACAAACAAAGCAAATGGGTCTTGTGGTAAATGAGGACAAAACAAAGTACTTTCTGTCAACAAACAAATCTCCTGAGCATCTTGGGACCTACGTCACTGTTGACAATTATAAGTTCGAAGTTGTGAAAGACTTTGTTTACTTAGGAATCAGCTTAAACAGCACAATTGACGTCAGCCTAGAGATTCAACGAAGAATCATTTTTACCAACAAAATTCAGTAGCTTTGCTAGCTTGGTCATGTCGTGCGAATGGAAGAAAGTATTCCGGCTAGAAAGGTGTGTGATTCGGTACCCGCAGGTGGAAAACGCGGTAGTGGACGTCCGCATCTTCGATGGAAGGACCAGGTAACCAGATGACCGAGCGCCCCCGGTACTACCAGCTAACGACAGCGAGCAACTAAT